AATTTCCTCCGACTTGTGACCAACTCGACTTGCAATCAGAGTCACGGAACGGATTAAGTTCATAAGTAGAGGTACCACTGTATTGTCAGATTGGAGTCTTCTCCTTAGCAGTCCAGGTGTGGATACGTTTTCCTTTAGGGCAGCAAAGATGAGTGGCAGAGTCAGGTGTTGGCCGAATGGAGCCTTAGACCCACCTCTCTTTCCAGGTGTTCATTGCAGGGACCAAGTCTGAATGTAAACGGGTTTTGCAAACCATTCTGAAAAACCGAAGACTTTGCACGCTCCTCTCCCCGTACTTCACTCCTGTTGCCTCCCCAGAGGAATTTGTCTACTTGTACGAGAGGGTCGTGGCTTTCCTTGGTGATGACAACGGTGATGTCATTTTCATGCTGCTGACAAAGGCAAGAGGGATTCAGATGTGCATTTGATGCCTGGGCAATTAAGCTGGGAGGCTTTTTTCTTCTCGAAAGGACTGCCTGGATTCTTGAGGGGTTTGTAGTTCTCCTGAGAATAATAACTTGCCTTTTCTCTCAAATGGACTCAAAGCAGGTTTTTTTTTTTTAAAAAGGCAAACTGAACAGAAATAGTATCCAGTTCAAAAATCAGAACCATCAGAAACTGATTAGAACAAAGCAGCAAAAAGTAACATTAGAAAGCTAGGTTTTTGCTCTGCTTCAGCTGTGGGAGCCAGGCAGGGTTCAGACAGAAGTATATTCCTCCATATGGGAGTGGTCCACCCAAAAAACCCCCCAAAAATGCTCCCGTGTGGCTACCAGCTGTGCCTCAAGGATGGCCCTTTCTGGCTTTCATGAATTGGGTTTCATACAGTATTTTGGCAGGTATGGGCAAACTGTTGTTGCAGAATATTAAGCTCCTTCTTACTAAATTCTAATGGCCCATCTGCATGTCTGTCTGTCTGTCTGTCTGATCCATCCATCCATCCATCCATCCATCCATCCATCCATCCATCCATCCATCCATCCAATCTATTTCTCTGTCTGTCATTCTATCC